AACTTTGAGTAAAGAAATGAGAAAGCAGCATGGACAAGTCTGTAATTTCGAACAACTGTGAGTAAAGAAATGTGTTTTTTTTATTCTACAAATGTCTCGGAGTGAGTTATTGTGACCATAAGTGCCAGTTAACGAGAAAGGAGTGGACACTGGGGAATTTGTAGCTATTCTCCTCCGTGAATATCTGTATTTCTACTGAGTAGGAAAAGAAATTGTACTAGAAATCCAAAACTGCAACGTGAAGTGCCATCCTACTATCCAGAGTAGAGGTGCTAAGAGGTCCTTCAATGGCTCAGCTGATGGACTGGATGCTAATAGCAAGTTGGAGGGGACAGGAGATGCTGCCTTACACTCAGCACAGCCCATCTAACCCAGTATTGCCAACACTGATTAGCACAGCTTTCCAGGGGAATCTTCCCTAGTTCTTGGTGGACAAGCAGGATTTCAGTCCCCTGGGGCCTTCCACATACAGAGCACATGCTTTATCCCTGTGCTGTAGCCTGATTCCACTCTTTTCCCAAATCCCAGGACCTTCTGTTTCTCTGTGGTTTCCTTTGGAAATAGTCCCACATCTGCTTGCATTATTTGTGTCCTTGGCCTCAGGCAGCAACACGTCTTGGGCTTTTCCCACCCTTCCTCGGTATCCTGAGGCTGAGGCATCAAACGGAGGCCCACAAAGCTTGAGCGTGGCTGCCCTCCAGCCATCTCTGCTTGCTAGCAGACCTGCGAATAACATGCATTGCCCGGGCCGTCACTCAGCCCTTCTCTGCTAAATCAAAGGTTCCCCCTGTCAATATGAGTCAGAATACATATCATTTCCCAGACTTTACAAAAGAGATCTAGAGATTGTGAACAGCACCCTAAAGGCAGGAATCCAGGGCATATAATACACTGCCAGCTTTAATAGCTAGTTGTGTTAGGGAGCATAATGGATGCCATTCAGTGCAGCCAGCACAAAAAAACATACTGTCAGTAACAGAGGCAGGTGACAGACAACAGAACAGACTGAAGGAGGTGGAACATCAGAGGCATCACTGCCTGCAACGTGCAGGGGTTCCCCGTTGTTATTTTTTGTTCACAAGTTTTGCTGTGTTCTGATGCACTGGGTCATAAAGAAATCGATGCACGAACCACATGAAATGATCCCTCTCTTGCACCAAAGAAAATGACGGTTCCTAGCCCTATTCTGGATGCCAGGAAATCCCGGAGAGGCAAGAATATCGGCTAGACAGTAGGTGGCACCACCATGCCGTGCATGCGCTCAAGTGGCAAGGCACAGATTACGCTGGTCGGAAGAGCTTCTAGCAAGAAATTCCATCATGGAACTAGCTCTCTCTCCTTTGCCAAGAGGCCTGCCTGGTGTGAAGATCCCCTCCGCAGTCATTCCAGCAACATCTTGTTCTGGCCCTTAAATGTGACAAAGATTCTTGGGGCACTTTAAAAGATCCTAATTAGGGATTTTTATCATACACGTTGGAGCCACCCAAGTGGATGTCATTATGTGCCGCCATGTCACTTCCCGCTTCCCCGTCAATGAGCAATCTGCAAAATCTCCTGTCCTCAACTGCCTTGATCGGCTCTTGTAGACTCAGGCCTGTGGATTCCTTATGGAGTCAGCCCACCTTGGATTTCGTCTTCCTCTTTTCCTGCTGCCTTCCACTTTTCCAAGCATTATTTTTTCCTGAGAATCCTGCCTTCCCATGCTGTGCGCAAAGAAGGACAGCCTCAGTTTCAACATTTTTGCCTCTATAGGCTGGATTTGATCATCTTTTTGTAAATACCTTCTGCATAATCACTTGTGAAGGCCACTTTTCCAAGCATTATTGTTTTTTCCTGAGAATCCTGCCTTCCCATGCTGTGCGCAAAGAAGGACAGCCTCAGTTTCAACATTTTTGCCTCTAAAGGCTGGATTTGATCTAGAACCCACTTGTTCATCTTTTTGTAAATACATTCTGCATAATCACTTGTGAAGGCACCATGATCAGATGTATAGTGTGGTATGCCCAGTAGATGTAATTTTTGCATGTATGCATGCGCGTGCGCATGTGCACACACATGCAAACACTGGAACATTTTAAACAATGGAACCCAAGGGCAGCATTAGATCTACAGAACCTGCATACGTTCAAATTGGCAACCGATTCAAACCAGCGGTTGGTGATAATACTCTTTTTCTAGTCATGTTAGGCTAAGTTAACGTTTCTAGTGATGTATGGCCAGGCTGAACGCTCAGATGTCAGGGTTTCCCATCTGTTGAGGTCCATTCCTAAGGCCTTCAGATCCTGCTTGCAGATATCCTTGTATCGCAGCTGTGGTAACAACAGCTATAATAGATGTTACTTAGAAGCATGCAAGATTCACCACGGTGCCTCCCAGGAGAAAAGCTGGCCTATTTGAGCTTAAATCTCTGGAATGGCTGAGCTGGTCTTAGCACGTGGGAAAATAAGGCCAGATGTTACTACAGACTAGCCTTAAGGCTGTGCCAGGAGGGCATTTGCCCTGGGTACAAAGCTGAAATGGGCACAGTGTGCCAAGCACAAGGGGAAAAAAAACCACTTCATCTTCTGCCTTCCCCTTTCATATTCTAGGTATCGTTTGGGTCACAGATGGCTTGCGACTGTTCCAGAACTGGCCGACATCTTCAGAGGACAGGAGTAGGAACTCTGTCCATGCTCTGTTGTTGTACTCCAGTCCTCTGAAGATGCCCATGGCCACAGAGGATAGCGAAACGTCAGGAAGAACAACTTTCAGAACACAACCAAAGAGCCCGAAAAAACCACAACAACCATCAGATCCCGGCCATGAAAGCCTTCGAGAATACTCAGAAATTTCTTGCCATCCCTTCTTCTTGGGTTGCCTTGGGACCGTGCAGGTTGCCCAAGGCTACACAGGGTGGCTTTCTTCCTTGGAGGCACCATGGGAAATCAAACCTCCAGCCTCTGGCTCTGCAGCCAGATGTCTCAGTCATACAGACAGTGGAATATGTGTACTTATATATGCTATCTATATATGATTATGTGCCGTAAATTTGCTTCTAAATCAGGGCTGTCCAACCTTTCACCTTCCCTGGGCCACATTAGAAGATGAAAATTTGATTTGGGCCGCACATACATTTGGTTTGGGCCGCATGGGGGGGCAGCCCTAGCCGTCCTCTGCAGCCCCGCTCCAAGTGCGCTTACCGGCAGCTGCGATCTCAGACAGCAGAGGCTGCCAGCTTTGACTCTGGTGGCTTTATGGGGCCGGGAGGGGGTCCGCCTATTGACGGGGATGGCGCAATGCAGTCACGCAGCCCCCTTGTCCCCTCCCCTCCCACTCCTTCCTTCCTTCCCTCTCTCCCCCTCTACTCTTGTGACATGCCCCGGCCACATTCTGGCCGCAAGCGCCAACAGTGTAACTTGAAACTTTGGAATTTCTTTAAAAATAAAAAATTGCACTGGGCCGCATTATGAGCTGACCTGGGCCACATGCGGCCCTCGGGCCACAGGTTGGACAAGCCTGTTCTAAATTAAGGTGACTGTATGAACTTATGTCTTCTGAAAGGCCCCCCGTCATCGACAGCTCTGCTCAGGTCTTGCAAACTCAAGGGCGTGACTTCCTTTATTGAGCGAGTCCACCTCCCCGCTGGTCTTCCTCTTTTTCTGCTGCTTTCAGCTTTTCTCAGAATTATTTTTTTTCAAGCCTTCTCACAGCACACTCAAAATCCAGTGCCCTCAGTTTAGTAATTATGGTTGTAGAGAGAGTTCCGTCTTGATTTGATCCAGCACCCACTTACGTATTTCTCTGTCTGGTGGTCCACGGTATCCATAAAGCTGTCCCCTAACACCACATTTCACATGAATCTTGTTTCCCCATGCCAGCTTTCTTTGTAGTCCAGCTTTCACATTTGTACACGGCAACTGGAGTTTGTGCAGATATACTACTTATCTATACAACCAAACAGTAACAACCTTAGAACTGCAGAGCTGAAAGGGGCCCTATTCAGTGGTCCCCAACCTTGGGCCTCCAGATGTTCTTAGACTTCAACTCCCAGAAACCCTAGCCAGCAGAGGTGGTGGTGAAGGCTTCTGGGAGTTGTAGTCCAAAAACATCTGGAGGCCCAAGATCATCAATCCCAGTCCCTGACAAGGAGGCCCAGTGGGAAACTGAACTCCCAAGAGACCCAAACCACTGAGTTGTCCAGCAATTCTGGATGCACATATACTATACATAATATGGTGGTGAAGGCTTCTGGGAGTTGTAGTCCAAAAACATCTGGAGGCCCAAGGTTGGGGACCACTGCGGAGGCCCAGTGGGAAACTGAACTCCCAAGAGACCCAAACCACTGAGCTGTCCAGCAATTCTGGATGCATATATACTATACGTAATAGTATATACTATATTATTTAGGTGCGATGCACACACACCTACAAAACACATACCACTGCATACAGAGGTTTAAAAGGGGGGAAATTTGCATTCTTGGCTTTGCAGGGGCCCTGATTTATCCTATTCTCTATACTCCGTTCTCTTCCAGGGCTAAACGAGCACTGCAGGAAACAGCTGTAAATTTAGGTGTCTGTCTGTCAGTGAGCCCCGTTGATCAGGCCCGATGCTCCGGAGCTGCCGACGAAGCAACGGAGCCGTGGGGTTCTTAGAAAGGCAACCTCCGAAATCCAAGATTTGTGACGAGACCTCGCCTCCCTCCCTCG